CCCCCCCCCCCCCCCACGTTTTGGCAAGTGCCCTTTTTCCGGAAGCAAAGTGCCCTTTTTGTGCGTGAAAATGTTTCATGAAAATTGTATTTTTAGCGCAAGGTGCACTTTTGAAAACTTCAATGTACGTTTTTTCCTGAAAAATGTTAAAAATTCCGGAAAAAATCATATATCCGGAAAATTGTGTTTGTATTCCGGAAAATTTTTTTAGTATTTACGATAAAAATTTTGTTTATCCTGAAAATATTTTTGGGATATGTCCGAAAAATTTTTTTTGGACCCCTAAAATGGTACACTGACCGAAATTTTTTTGGCGACGGGGGGGGAGGTCGCCAACAAAAAATTTGGAGATGCCCTTTTTTTTCGAAAAGTGCCCCTCAAAGCCTGGCCCCCCAACTTTTTGAAGGTTCCTACGCCCCTGACAGCAGTACATTTGTGGTAGTCAGACCAATGTGTCCGCCATTGGCTTCAATTATGCACGGCATAATATATCCATAGCAGATATATCATTGACATATATATATACCTGGACTGCTTGCTCTAATACTTTTTGGCTGAAGGCTTGCGTGGCAAATTGAAGCTGACGAATATGAGAGTTAAACAGCACTGCTGGCGCATAGCAAAATACTTTCAGCTCCAAGTACTGGTCAGCGGTCGACTCCATGAGTAATCACTCTCGTATATTCGCCAACTTGCGACCACGCTTTTTGAGACCGAGCAAGCAGTCCATATATATATACAATGTAGCAGACCCTGGGAAAGAGATTGTGTAGCAGATAATTATCATATCCATCCTCGTTTGAGATCAGGAAATTGTACAGGAAGTAAAGTAGTGGACGTCGAAGGTGTTGTGTGCAAGGACTATGCACGCGAAAATAGTTTTGTATCCCACACAAAAATGAATTTGCTATATATTTATTGTATTTTTGTATATGTAGTGTGCGAAATTGAGTACCCTGGGTGCCAGAGGTTCTTCCACGCTCGTAGGGGGGATAATGAGGGATACACGAGGATCCTCTATCATCCCCCTTTACGAGCGTGGAAGAACCTCTGGCAAGAAATTGAGCGGCGATGTGTAGAACCGTTAGTTGGATAAAGTTTTCATATCATTACTGTAAAGCTTAGACATAAAAATATCACAATAATAACGTCTTCAAGACATGATAACATTCTGAACGTTTAGTTTAATATTAAAAAGAAATTCAACCCAAAAGTTGACTTCATTCCCCAACCTCGGCCCTGGGCGGCTGAAGGTGATCGGCGAAAATGGCCCTGGGATCGGCTGGTCAATTCTACAATCCCATTGGTACTTGCGATAGATGAACCAGGCGGAAGTCGTAATCTTAGGATAAATATTAATGCCCAGCATAAAACACGTAAAAGAGCCATAACAAAAATATAGTTTAAAATATTTATTTGAAAGCTAACGTTTCGCCTCTCTTAATAATTTTAAGATTATTTCTTGTTGCTCTTTTCCAGACGAACTCCTAAACTCAAACCCTCTCTCAAATTACAGGGCAGCTCGGTCCCTCTACTTCTACTCTGATCCATTCCTCTTTGTACTATTTACAACATGAGCGGCCGTGTTGTATCGGATATACAAACTCGAGAGTTTGTATATCCGATACAACACGGACGCGAATGTTGTAAATGACTTAAAAAACGACTCATCTTATGAGTTCATTGGCGAAGTAATTTTAAAAATAAACGTTGTCTAAGCCGAGAAAATCAAAGTTAAAGTTCATGTAAATCAACATGAATCTGTATCACATATACAGATACGACACGCTTATGATTTTTCTTTGTGTTTTCTTCATGAATTATTAATGAGTTTTTTAAGTACTTTTGTAATATAAATATCTTGTAAATATTCTGTGCTGGTGTTGTGTACTCAGGTGAATAATATGTTTGTGGTGTTACTCTGAGTGCATATCCACACCGGGCGAGCTTGAAAAATATGCCCGGCCACGGTGGGATTCGAACCTACGACATTTGGAATACTAGCCCAACGCTCTTCCAACTGAGCTACGCGGTCGAACCGTCCTGACCGCGTAGCTCAGCTGGAAGAGCGTTGGGCTAGTATTCCAAAGGTCGTAGGTTCGAATCCCACCGTGGCCGGGCATATTTTTCAAGCTCGCCCGGTGTGGATATGCACTCTAGAGTAGCACCACAAACATATCTTGTAAATAGTTGTATTTTATAGTATTTTATATGTTATATCTTGTAAATAGTTGTATTTTATAGTATTTTGTATTTTATATCTTGTAAATAGTTGTATTAATAGCTGTGTTTTCCGCTTTGCATCATTGCTCTGAAGATGAAAGACGAAACGTTAGCTTTCAAATAAATATTTAAAATTATATTTTTGTTTTGTTATGGCTCTTTTACGTGTTTTATGCTGGGCATTAATATTAATCCCATTGGTTTGTTCGTTGTTTATTTGGTCATGCTATGCAAATATCAAATCATCATTATTCATTTCTTAAGAAATCATTGTTTTCACGGTCTATGAACACGGAAATATTTGCATAGCATGGCCAAATTGTCGGGCCGGCTACGCCACTGGACTCATGGATATAAGAAGAATTATGCAAGTATACTATTCTTAAAATAATTAACGTCTTTAATAGATGAACAAGTTGGCAAATTGTTTATTACAAAAAATATTCACATAAAATATTCACATGAAAACAGTAACTGAAACTACTGGCACTGAAAGTAAAATGCCCGGAAATTCTGGGTGTCATGTGACCAGCTGATCAAGACATTAGCATTTTGCACGATTTGATAAGGATTTTGCAAGGATTTTTTACAAAAAAATTCGGAATTCTAGGGTAAAATAAGTTTTGGGTGGAAATTTCGGGCTAGGAGCAGGCATTGAAGCAGGCTAGAAATAAGGAAATATTTGAACCGTGGACAAGGAATTCTACTGTATTAAAGGGCCAGTTCCTTTTTGTTTTTCCTTTTCGATTTTGTCTTCGGTCTTGGTTTATAGAACGAACTGTTTCGAGATCGAAGACACAATATTTATAACAGAAAAGATTTCAACAAAAACTTTTGGATCAGGGGCAAAAGTAGCCTGCGAATACAGACGCCTCATTGTGCTACGCATTGTAGCAACTCGCTACAAATATGGACAGTCCTGATATTTCGGTTGGCAACTGTTCTTCGACACAAGATACTTTGGTAAGCAGGCATTTCAATGTGTACTCTATTTTGTTACGGTTTTCAACAAATAACGTTATTTACTATTGCGGTTGTGTTAAGTGTTTTAAATTTTGGGTTTTGTTTTATTTCGTTAGTACGAAATATGTCTGACGCAATATAAATTTTCACTTTCACAAAATATGTAAACAATTTTCACTTTTCTACTTTTTTTATTGCAAAAAACAAACTGATAACTCCAGTCGTTTATAAATCCAATTGTTTCAACCAGATTTAAGACTAAAATCCGTTAAATCCCTTTATTCGTGCTTGCGTGTTACCGAAGGTTTCTGATTTACTGGCAACGTATTAAAATATAGAAACAGATGTTTCGGTGTTGAACATGAAAGGCCATACTCTATATAGGTTTCCTCCGGGGTTTTTGACAATCCAGGTCCACCTATTTTGAGGAATGCTTCAGTATGCTGCAGTATTTGAATGTTTTTAATCCACTGAAATATAAACCTTTTGTACTCGTGAATCAGTCGCATTCACAATTCTTCAATTTCGCCATGGCGAAGTACACAATAGTGATGACTGATGGCATTTTAATGTATGCCAAAATCAAATACTAAATGTACATAATCGTGAATTTTTGTTTTAGTATTACTTAATAAATATAAAACATTCAAACTAGTATCTGTGGTTATTGTTCAAATTGTGTTCAAAACAGGGACGTGCTGGCGTCTTAAAAAAGACAACGAATGAACAACGTCTGATCATAGATTATAGATCATACCAGATGTCTCACTCAGCCAAAATTGTGTCCGCGATTTTTTATGAGCACGAATTGGCCGCCATTTTGGCAGTAAGTGTAATCCACGCCATGAAACGTGAGCAATCACGCATTTTGGCAGTAAGCGCCAT